TGAAGAGAAGTGGTCTCATATCCTGAATCATGCACAGCGTTGACACCGCTGTCACAGATGTTGCACAGTGCCAGCTGGACCCACACCGAGGTCCTCTTGGGCATGCCTATGGGTGTCCCTCAGAAGCAAACACAGACCTGTGCTGGGGAAGCTTCTCACAGCAGCAGGAAAGACTGGAAAAGACTCACCACAGACTATATTCTTTAGGCAAACGAACCCATAGTAAAAAAAGAAAAAAGGGTCTGAAATATACAAAGAAGAAGGCACCACAGATTACATGTCTTGTCATTACATGTCATTGAACATCAGAACACCTCAATGCCATGGTCTCTCGAACCCTCCCCCCCGCATAACCTTCACCATTCGCTTTGTCATAAATCATGTTTTTTTGTTTGTTTTTTTTTTTTGCGTAGAGCTGGGGTGTAGGCCAGAGGTGCAGGGTGGAGGTGAGAGAACTCACTAGAGACAGAGTGGGGAGCAGCACAGACGGATCTACCGGAATCCACTGCTGAGGGGAGCAGCAGGTGAGACAGGAGAAGTCTGCTGCACCCTGTGGGTCAGCTCCCTGGCTGGGGATTGAACTCAGGCAGTAGCAGTGACAGCACTGAGACTCAACCACTGGGCCCCCAGGGAGGCCACATGTGTGTTTTTATAAGCAAAGTAGGCAAGTCTAACAGGGGGATTCAGTTGTCTAATTAGATGTTACTAGAAACCTTAATGGGATCTGTGATATGATTCTTAAAAAGTCACTTTGGAGAAAAATATTGAGGGCTTTTCATAAAGTATTAAAAAATATAAGCACTAATCCCAAATGTTCCTTTTGTGGCTTTTGAGTAAGAACTTGCATATTTTTTCTTTTTTTTCTTTTATACATTTTTTACATCATTTTTCATTTTTGACCAAGTATGCATTTTCATCTTGGTTATGGTCCCCATACAATTCCCACCCCCCTTGTTTTGATCCTACTCCCTCCTCCCCCACCCCCGTGTGTGTCTCCGGTTTATGGTTGCTTGTTGATTTTGATTTTTTACTTTATTATAATTAGGTTTGCATATTTTAAACTTAAACCAGCATCTGAAATATTTTATTACCTATAACTATAAAACTTCTTCCTTTGGTTATTTTCCTCCTTTCTATACTAATTCCCAATTAGCTGGTTGATTCAGGCCTAGCTAACATCACACTCTTGTAAAATTTAAAACTTCTATGGAAAAAGCTCAAGGACGTATTACCTATGTAAATAGGAATTCATGTTTTTTTAAATCACTTGACATTATTCAGTTTTACATTATTAGGGAAAAACTTTCATAGTGTTATTTGTGTGCCAATAGTGTTAAACCAACAATTTTTTTTTTTGTATGTTTGTAGCTTAATTTTACTTTCAAGTTAAGCTATTCGAGTCTTTTTCCTTCATAATGTAAGATGTAATAATGTAAGATTCCTAATGTAAGATTAACAATGTGGAAGCATGTAAAACCCTAGGGTCACATGTAAAACTCTCTCTTTAACATTAAATACTCAGGCTTCTGAGTCTCCTTCCCCGCCCCCCATGCTTCTCTTCCTCATTGTCTTTTACCCCCTCTCTCCATTAACTTCACTCTAGAATATCGAGGATTTAACGGATCATTAAACAATTATTTCTCATTTTGGAAAAATTCGGAGAACGTTTATTAAATGTCACTGTGGAGGGTCTTGAAACTTGGAATCCCAAGTTTAGATCTGGCTGCAGATCCATCTCAAAGCTCAGTGATTCCCACTCCCAGTGCTTGAGAAGGCTGTCCCCCAACCCCACCCCGACCGCCCTTCTCCCCCACAGTGCTGTGTGACCCACAAGCAGGATGTGAAACTTGGAATCACAGGACAGGCTTAGCACACTCACTTGGTTACATAGAAATTTAGAAAAACAGGGGTCTCCCTGGTGGCACAGGGGTTAAAGTCTCAGCGCTATCAAGCTATCGTCAGTCACTGCGACCTGAGTTCCATCCCCGGCCAGGGAGCTGACCCATATGGTGCAGCAGACCTCTCCTGCCTTGCCCGTTGTTCCCTCAGCGGTGGATTTCAGCAGATCCACCTGTTCTGCTCCCCACTCTGTTTCTGGTGAATCCTCTCATCCCCGCATCTCTGTCCTACACCCCAGTTCTTGTATGCATAAATAAATAAAATAAATCTTCAAAGTGATAATAATTAAAAAGAAATTTAGAAAAACAAGTGTGGTAGACCCCGAATGAAAGTCAAATATGAACAACAAATTGTAAAAAACAGTAACTTAGAAGGCGCTTAAGCCCTAGTGCACAGCTCCTCCCAGCTGACTGAAAAGACGACGACGGCGGAAGATGGGCAAAGACTGTGACCAAACAGGAGGGTTTGTGTATGATCAACAAACCTCTGAAAAGATTTTGCATCGTAGTAGGCAGTGAATGCTGATTAATAGCAAGTTCTCACATTTGCCACTCAGCCTGCAGGGAGTTTAGGCGCTGGTCACACAGTGTTGCGGAGGCAGCCTTCTCATGCGCTGGGAGTGGGAATCACAGAGCTTTGAGATGGTTCTGCACCGAGATCTAAAAGCACAGTGTGTGGGCCCATCATGGTCGTACAGACCACAGGGGATGGCGTCCAGTCCTGGATGCTGCCATCTGCAGGAAGCCCTACTTCCATTTAGCTCATCCCCTGGACCTGCCTGAGCACAGGGCTCTCCTGGGGGCCTCACAGGAGGCAGAGCTGGCTCCTTCTCCTTCCCAGACCATCACAGCTGCCTCTCTATTTAAATAAAACCACACTGGGAAAGCTAGATGGAATCCCACACCTCCTCACACCCCACTTCTGCCTTCGCCCACTTCCTAGACCAGGTTGGAACATTCGATTTCACACTCAATGTGTGATCAAAGCAGAAATCTATGTTGCGTTAATTTTCAACTCTTCTTGGTCTTGGAAATATGTTAGCGCTTCTGGTAAGTGGAGATGCTTGTGCTCTGTTCTGGTGGGTTCTGATGGGTTCAGCTGCTCCTGGCTCCTCCCCCTGCTCTGCTGCGCCCTTCCCGGGATGCCCACATGGTTCTTTCCTCACAGAAACCCTCTTCCACGTCCTGCGAGGGGACGGGGATGCCTGGGGATCTTTCACATTTCCTGTGCTTTGTGAAAATGCAAGTTGTGCAATGGGAAAACAACTATTGGAGTAAGAACTCACTGTGAAAAGGAAAAGTTGATAGAGGAAAATATCACTAGAAATGATGGTTCGATCACACTGTACCTGCAAGGTGATTTTCCCTCCCTAGTCCTAAGTAAGGGACATTTTGTAGACATTTATTCATCTCACTGTGGAACATCTGCCCGTTAGATGTAAGGGCACGGAGCTTCCGCCCTGGGGGTTAGCTTGCCATGGGGAGAAAAGCAGAGGAAGGGCAAGCAGTTACGGGAGTAACTCGCTGGCACAGGGAAAGCTGCTAAACACTGAGGGAGGCAGGCAGGTTAGTGGGCAGCACGGGGGATATCTTAGAAGTGAAGCCAGCCTGGCCTTTCGGAGATGCCATCTCAAGTGGTGGAAAGAGAAGCCAGGAAAATTTCAGTGTCTTGCTCAAAAGGCACAGCAAAGGAAAGATTTTGAGCCGGGAACAAGCTGGTGTCTGTGCCAGCGGTGTCACTGGCATCCGGGGTGCAGCATGTAGGAGAAGCTCCCGGCGTGAGGTGTGGCTTCCTGGCCCTGGCTGCTGAGTCCTCTCACTCTGGCTGGACTGCGGGGAGAGGGGGGATGGGCAAGAGGCTGGCCACTAGGCCCGTGAGCCCTGGCGAGAGGTCTGTGTTTTATTTTAAGTATGACAGGCAGCCGCGGTGTGGTGCAGGATGACAGATGCTTTACAAAGGACACGCTGGCCGTTGCTGGCAGCCGTGGATAAGAGTGAGTCAGGTGAGGCTGTTGTGGTGGTTCCGACCTTAGATGCTGGTGGCCAGGACAGGGCACAGCAGGCCAGGGGAGGAGGGGCATCCTGAGACAGGATGTGGAAGGACTTGCTAATGCATTGGATCCCACAGCAAGAGAGGGAGACACCAGGATGGCTCTGGGGTCTTTGTAAGGAGCAAAGAAGAGTTTAAAGAAGTCACGGGGTCAGGAGACAAGAAAATGAAGGAAGCAAACTGTCTCACTGCTAAAGAGATGAACATCCCCTGTTGATGGAGTTTGGAAAGTCTTATGGACCCCAGTTTTGATGCTTTGTTTAAAAAAAGCTTTGTGCCTGCCAGAAGCACCTTAGCACTTGGAAAGGACTCCTGACTGGGCAGAAAGCCGAGCATCCGCTGCGATGCTCTCAGTCATCTACGGGATCGGGATGGCGTTGGTCCCTGACATGTGTCCAGAGTCGCCATCTTTCTTCATTCCTCTTCCTGGGCTAAAACGTTGAGTCATTTCTCTTCCCAGTCAATCAGACAGACTAGCCCTGTCTGTTTCTGTAACTGTCTGCAGAGCCAGCCCCATCCGGTTAGTAAAATGGACTTCAGTGTTTTTCTAAACCAGTGAGTTACAGCTGTTATTCAGAGGACACGGTGTGTCTTCTGGACCAGAAATACAAAGACTGGGGAATAAATGCACCTTTAAATTGGTATTAAAGCAGACAGGTGTGGCTGGTAGAAATCATAGCCCTCTTTCCCCTCTTGGATCCTTGTCGACAGCCTGGCAAGTTCCTGTCCCCGAGGGCCAGGGACACGATGGGGGACAGACGAGAGCCCATGCAGTCTGGTCTGCACTGTTTTTGGTTGACTTCGGTCCAGGGCTCCTGGAGGCTATGCTCCAGGCTGAAGATCCAGGACCCTGAGGGCAGCAGACATGAGGAGACCAAGCAGTGTGATGTGAAGAGCCTTCCTTCTTGGAAACTGAGACAGAGACTGAGGCAGAGAGGACATCAGCAGGCCTGAGAGGAGGGGACGCCCCGTGGCTAATGAGATGCTGACGCAGACACGGGACTTTGTGGGCCCCGAGAGGCAGCAAGGCAGGCATGGGGTGGTGGGGGATAGTTTCCATGCCCGGAACCCTGTCTCCTCTGTTCCTTGGAATTAGAATGACGTCCCTGTGACAATGCCCACCCCAGTCCTGTGGGTCCTGGTGCTAAGACTGCTGGGGGTCCCACCACCTGGTGATGTGTCGAATGCCGTGAGGTAGTGCTGGCAGGCCTGGGTTCCCTCGTTCCACAGAGGTTGTTGACTGGTTTCCCATGGGCAGGATCCAGCCCTGTTAGCTGGAAACAGTGACATCAGAAAGTCATTTCAAAAATCGAGAGTGCAGGTCTCTCTGAAGCTTGGGGGAGTCACAAAGCCCTGGGCCACCTCCCGGGTGGCTTCCAGGCCTGGGCCGAGGGTTTGCTGCTCCAGAAAAGGCACAGTCACCACTGGCCACAGCCCCCCACTTCCTCTGCTACCCCTGCCCTGTGACACTGGCTGGAGGAGGGTGGCAGCACCTTACAAATAGCCCCAGGCTTGGCCTGAAAGGGCCCAGCCCATCCTGACTCCATTCCAACTTCTGCCTCTTCCAGCTCAAGGCCTCCATTTTGTTACCACCCCCTCCGCCCACCTCCCCCAACTAGGAAGAGAAAACAGGCCTGGGGTTTTCTGTGGGTGGTGTCCACAGCAGCGCCCAGCGGACTGCCTCTCTCAGAGCATCCCACCCGGCCCGCTGGCTGGGGTGTCTGTGGTCTCCTGTAAAGCCTGGGGTGACTTGCAATGCACCCCTGGTCCCTGAGGTGGTGGAACTCGGCATCTGTTTTTCTCTACCAGATTACTATTACTTTTTAGCTGGGTATCCTTTTTTATTGCTATAATCTGGGGGTTACATTTTGACTCTTCCAGATTCTTTGTGTCTTACTCAACTTCATGTCACCGAGCCCTGAACTACACATTTTGGTGAATAAATGAATGAATGAGTGGATTCTGAGAGTGAGGGAAGTGAGAACAGAGAACACGGAAGGTCTGGGTGACCCCTCCCACCCTGACCCCCAGCCTTGCCATGAACTCTGACCTCTCTAGTGCGATGCTGGACCACTTTGGGCCCAAGCCGAATTTTCTTCAGAAATTAAGAATCTGCTTCTTCACTGAACATGTCCCAGTTCCTCATTTAGGAGCGTGGTTGCCAGGGCTGCCGATGGCTCCAGGCTGGGCTGCGAATCCCCCAACTAGAGCACAGTTTGCTGTGTCGGGACGGGTGTTCGTCAGAGAAATGGCGCTTGAAGGTCGGTTTGATGAACATGCTATTTTGCTTCTGTGACCAGAAGTAGTACTTTCAAATGTTTACCACAGTGATTTGTCCATCACATTAAGCTCTATTTTTAAAAATGGAAAAAAGTCATAGCAGAAAAAGAAGGAAGGAGCCGGGGAGGGGAGTTGGGGGGTGTCCTCCTGGGGTCCCAGCCCACTCTCCCCTCAGCTCAGAGACGTCCTGATGATACTTAGTTGCAGCTTCTTGTCTTAGGGGCTCTTCTGTGTGTCTCCTCAAAGCAGAGCTGTGGGACATTTGTGTTGAACGTGTTGGAAGGCCTGGGATGCAGCCCACATTTACCGGCTGGGAGACCAATGCCAGGCATTTAAATGGTAACAACTGCTACATCGTTCTGGTCGCCAGCCATGGCTGGCATTGGGTGAATGCCCAGTGCCTGTCTCAGTGCCCGAGTAGCCAGCCAGGAGCAGGTGCTTCTGAGGTTATTGCCATGACACAGGTGAGAATAGAGCCCCAGACAGGTCACTCTCTGACCAAGATTTGAGTGAGAGAGCATGACTTTGAAACACGTGCTTCAAAACCCTAGTTGTGACCATGACACTCACGACACAGCCCAGTGGCAGGGATGACAGTCATGTGTCCCACATGGGCTACACAATCCACGTCGACCCGTCCACACAGTATCCTGGAACTGTGCGCACTTAGTTCATAGGATGTTGTAAGCGTAAACTATGAACATAAGTGTGTGTTTATGGCTACCCAGCTCTGCACGTGTGGGTATTATGGAGAGCTCTGCATTCCTTGGGTGGCATTATTACACGTTCACACACGAGAATGAAGAAATCTGTGATTTTAATCAATTCATATGCTTTAAAATCACTAGGGTTTGCTGTGTGCAGAAAAGCTGGTTGTGTGGTGATTTCATACAAGACCATAAGCTGGTCCTCCTGTAGTGAGCTGGTAGTTACATTTCCATCTTCTGTAAAGCCTTTCACAGGATAGGATTTCTGCAGTTCTGTTATTTAGGGGATGCACTGCAGCTTCTTAACTGGGGGGTCCTCTTACCTGTCGTAGGCCTCAGCCCTGGATGGCCACGGTGACTGCTTCAGCCCCCTGCAGTTACTTTGCTGCTGAATCTGCTGAATCAGTGCTCGTCGCCACAGCCCTTGTTTCTTCCATGGACTCACTGCTTCTGCAAATGTGTGTCTGTTACTGTAGAGCCAAGCCCCTAGGCTGGCACCGCAGGGAGGTAGGGGTGGGCCAGGAATCTTTGAGCTTTCTTTTCTCCGGGCTCTCTTCGGCATTCCCTCCTGGTCTCGCCTCTCCTGTAGTCACTAGTCCACTCCTAGCCATCCTCCATCTCTGAGTGACATTGCCCTTCTATCCTTGGCCTCTGTCCTCAGGTGTGCACACTCATGCATGCCCACGTCCATGCCCCAAGTGTCCACAATCAGGCACGCGTGCCCCGCGCCCATGCTCTCAAGCACCTTCTGCAATGACACCATCAAGGCTGTAGGTAATGGCCACAGACGCTAGTGGCATAAAAACCTGATTAATTCATTTACCCCACTGTTAAACCATTTCTGAGTATTTTGAGGCGGCGGTTTTACCAGCTGCCCTCTACTTTTTTTTTTTTTACTGTGCACTGAAGGCCCTGCAGTTAAATCAGGTGTTTCCCTGGCATCCAACTGGACAGCCTCTGCCTGGCCCCCACCCCACCCCAACACGCCACCTGGGCTCAGCAGGCTCCATGGCTGATGCTCCAGTGCAGGATTATTTTTACAGTAGCATCTGGTGGGTTTAAAAAAAAATGATGGGGAGTGAGAACTTGTTGGCATGTGTCCATTTTCAGAGTTTTCTAGACTGCCTCTTATCAAGTGGGAAGAGCAAAGCCATCTGTCCCGTGCCCAGGATGGTCCCAGCCTCCTGCTTCTGATTAAGTCAGCGGGTGGGGGTCAGTGCTGGGGCCCGGCCCTGAAGGGCGGTGCCCCCTCTGTCTTGGGTATTGGGGCTGGTGGGGCGGATGCTGCTTTTCCTGCCTGGGTCTTGATTTAACAGCAGGATCCTCTGGGCTTCTTCCAAGAACTCTCATGTTTCCTTGAAAATAAGTGGAGGATGAATTCTTTTTCAAGATAATGAGAAACTTAAGTAAAAGCTCTTCTTTTTCTCATGTTCAGAACAACGCCCGGCGTGATTCCACGACAGTGGATTTCTTGTCTCACTGGATTCCTTGCTGCTCTGGCAGAGGTAGATTTTTTTTTTTTCCTGTATCAGAGAAATGTTATTAAAATCTAATATTTAAAAGATGCCTAAAGGATCTAGGACACATCTTTATAAGCTTCTCGCTGTCATCTAGTAAAGCAGATCTGTGGATGGGGCCATTGTTACCGGGTTTGCTTACTTGAGCATCTTTTCTCTTTTTCTTCTCTCTACAAAGCCTAGTGTTCCTCCTCCAGCCAGCCCCCCCCCCTTTTCCTTCCTTTCCCCCCTTACCTGTCCTGTATCCTTCTCAATGGTGTGCGAACTTTCCTGTTTATTTTTCCTTTTTTAATTGTTTGCATAGAAGAATGAGGGTGCAGGCCTAAGGTGCAGGGGCTGAGAGGATTCACCAGAGTCAGAGAGGGGAGCAGAACAGGCGAATCTTCTGAAATCCACTGCTGAGGGGAGCAGCGGGCAAGACAGGAGAGGTCTGCTGTGCCATGTGGGTCAGCTCCCTGGCCAGACATTGAACTCAATCTGCAGGGGTGATAGCGCTGAGCCTTAACCTCTAGCCCACCAGGGAGGCTCAGAGTTTCCTATTTCTCAACCTCCTCCTGGTATATTCTGTCTTCTAGACGTGGCTTCCTTGTTTTCCCCAACAGCCCTTTTGGAAAATACAGCTCATTCTCCCCTGCCCAGCACACTGAGGACCCAGGGATAGCAGATTTCCCTCTTTATTGCAACCTCCAAACTGTTACTTCTCTGTCACTACCTCTCCTTTCACTGTGTGCCCTTTTATTTTTAAGACTGTGTCATATACAAGTTTAGCAATACATTTCTGCCTCCCGTAGACATGGCAGAAACCCCAGTGTCACCTGGTGATGCCCACATGGCTTTAGACACCTCCTTAAATGGCCTAGTTAAGACAAGGGAGGTCGCAGGACAAAGGGGACATCAGTGAGGAGTTTACGGGGAAACAGCAGTACAGATTGAAGTTCTGTCCTCTCCGTGGAAAAGAGAGAAGGGGTTGAGGTCTCCCTGGAAGAGGCCCTTTCCAGGAGACGTTCATAGATAAATATCAAAAGCAACCTCTACCAGCCTCCAGAACCCTGAAATCAACCTCTTGACAAAAACATGTGTTTTGGGGTGGCAGATTTTTGCTCCCCTACAGTCAGTCCCACCTTCGTAATCTCTCAAGAAGTTCTGAAATTCGGAAGTTGAGTTGTTCAGTCATTGCGTATAAGCGGTCTCTCAGTCCCAAGGACAAACCAGTCCAGTTGTGTCCAGTTTCTGGAGGGCTTCTGGAAGGGCGCCCAAAGTTGAGCCTGTGTTTTTCTGTACCATGCACGCACTTCTGCTTCTGACTGATTCGGCGAGAGGAGAGCATCAGGGAAGGGCTCAGGGGGACACGTTGGTGGGGAATTTGTCAGTACATGTGTTATGAGTGATGGTTTTACGTTCATATGACAACTTCAATCTGCAGTCACATGCTCTCAATCCTGAGAACAGAACCATGCCAAAACATTCATATGGGCTTGGATATTTCACTTGAGGGTAGAGATATCTTTAGGGGCCTCCCTGGTGGCCTAGGGTTAAGTCTCAGTGCTGTCACCACCACGGCCTGAGTTTGATCCCCAGCCAGGGAGCTGACCCACATGGTGCAGCAGACCTCTCCTGTCTTGCCTGCTGCTCCCCGCAGCAGTGATTTCAGTAAATCTGCCTGTTCTGCTCCCTACTCTGGCTCTGGTGAGTCCTCTCACCACCCCTCCACGCCCCCGCACCTCTGGCCTACACTCTACTTCTATGCCCCCCCCCCAAAAAAAATCTTTATTCCAGCAGTAAGATGCATAATTTCACCTTGAAATGTCTAGTAAATCTAGTCAAAACAGTCCTCACTTTTCTAAGCCCCATTTCAGGGAATGTTCATTTCTTGCTGGAAGTCTTCCCAGGCCAGACCTTTAGAATTCTGTGAGTGCTCTGCGGATGTATTAATAGGATGAGAAATATAAATTATGAAAAATGCTGCAACTTACTTGTGGTTTTGTTTCTGACCTGTATACACAGGAGGCAGAAATGTACTGCCCTCTTTCCCCCCACTGCCTTCTTTTCCAAAAGTTCTGATTGATAGGTGAAACATGGGGTGCCATACTATCTTGACCTTTTAAATGATTAATAAGGTCGAGCAACCTAATAATAAGTTTGTGTGTCCTTTGCATTCTCATCAAACTGCATGTCAGCATCCCCGCTGGAAGAAGGGCTGCCGTTTGGAGGACCTTCATTTTGTGAGCAGACTATTTATTGATAATACATCTGTAAGAATGTATATCTGCGAATAAAGGCACTGCGCAGGTTTCTGTCTCTTTGGGCCGATGCAGTTTTCCCTGTCCCAGAGCCTGGTGCACATCGTTGTGGTGTGATATTTGGAAGCAGAACGAGGATGGTGAAAAGCATCATAACGGCACCATCAGCACCTTGTGACCAGAGGGACACCCGCCCTCAGCACAGGGACTGGAATCTTCTGCAGAACATACACACGTCCTGCTCTGAAAGGAAAACGCATTGGGGGATGTGCTCCTCCTGGTCTCTAAAACCCTCTTGAATTCAGTCTTCTGTTACTTCCTGAGGGGACAGAACTTGTCCATTCCGCTTCTTTGCCCATGGCTGAGTGGACACCTCATTAACTTTCCTTCTGTGAATGTGAGGCGCCCCTTCCAGAGCCCACAGACAGCTTTGTTTCCACATACCTGCCGCCTGCCTTACGAGACCCCAAATCAAAATGAAGTAAATGAAATCATTTGAGATGCTATTGCTTCATTTGTCACTTTAAAAAAAAAAAAGATTTATATATTTATGCATACAAGAACTGGGGCACAGGTCAGAGGTGTGGGGGTGAGAGGACTCACCAGAGACACAGTGGGGAGTAGAACAGGCAGACTGACTGAAATACGCTGCTGAGGGGAGCAGTGGGCAAGACAGGAGAGATCTGCTTCACCATGTGGGTTTCTCTCTGGTCGGCTGGGGATCGAACTCATGCTGCAAGGGCTGCAGATTGCTTCATAGTGCGGTGCTTAACCCCTTGTGCCACCAGGGAGGCCCCTATTTGTCGTTTATTAAGAATATCTGATTTATGTTTTTATTTTGACGTCTGTTTTGGGCCATTTGGTTGTGTTGTCATGAGCATGCTAAAAGGAAGGAGAAATTCCTCAGAGTATCCTGTGAGATCTGATGCTCACTGAGAAATCCGACTGAGAGGCCCCTCCTTTGTACACCTCTGAGTGCCGCCTACTAGCACATCCTGTGCCAGGGGGTTTCCTTGTATTTGACATTCATTTTTCTGCAAGCTCGAGGGGGCAGTCTCCTTGCCTTGTTCTTGCTCAACCGCACCTGACATGTGGCAGGGGATCAGCAAACCACTGTTGAAAGTATGCGCGCAATCATCGCTCAAAGCTGATTTTAGAAAGGGGTATGAGGATTGTTTTCCATTTTGCTGAGGAAGATGGAAGATTCCTTTTAAATGGGAGGAAAAGGAAAACTGTAAGTGCAGCGGTCATGAGTCCTGACAGCCACGTCCCGCAGGGCAGGACCCACTGTCGGACGGGAAATGGGTCACACGTGGGATGAATGACATGGAGATGCCGCTTTGGTGGACCAGAGCCATGGACTGTTACGGGACCAGGACATGGAAACCAGCCAAGTGCCCACCGACAGGGGCCTGGATCACGAAGGGGGGACCTGTCCGCACCAGGACACCCTTCAGCCATAGGAAAGATGAGATGCTGCCATTTATAGCTGTGGGGAAGGAGCTGGAGGGAACGGAGTGCGGTCAGAGGACGGAGGAGCAGGGACAGGTGTTGGACGTTTATACTGTGCATGGGCTGACAGAGCAAAGTAGCTATGGAGACGATTGGGTAATGGTAAAGGAAGCTTCTGTGGCTTGGGAGGGCACAGAGAAAGGGTGAAAGGGACGCTAGGAGTGGTGGGGGCACGGGATGCCAGTTTGTTTTGAGAGAGACACATTCACAGTGCCTGAAAGAAATGAAGACAATCAAAGAAGATAACCGGGAGCATGTGAGAGGTGACAGGAACTTGAGGAGAAGAAGGAACTGAGCAGCCCGAACTCCTGGAGTTTCCTGTGGTCATCATGGGGAGCTGGGGAGTAGAGAAATTTACATTATTTCCCTGGGGGGTAGGCCCTCCCAACTCAGATAACCCAGCCTCATCTGTCCCACACCACGGCATCCCCAACCTTTATCGCCACCACTGAAAGGCAGCGCCACAGGTGTGAGTTCTGGGGAGCAGGGCCTCACCTCATCCGAGAGACAAGGAAGCAGGCCAGCAGGCACCCGACACCCTCTGCCCGGCAAAGGGCCTGGGCTGTGGCCACCCTGCTACTCCCGCCCAGATCCCAGAGCACCCAGGCCCTCAGGAGAGGTCAGGGCCCTGGTCTTGCATCATCTGTAGCCACCCAGGGATCTGCCCAGGTGCAGAGCCTGGAGGGGGGCCCTCATCCAGCTGAGGACAGTCAGACACTGGACACACGAGGAAGGAGTGGCACCACAGTGGACAGTTGGGGAAAGGTCGCTAGAATTCTTCACTGAGATATATAAATGTGTGAAAAAATGTCAGGGAAAGTTTAAGTCAATGAGCTCTTCAAATTAAAAACGAGTGGTTTGCTGTTACTTGGGGCATCGTGTTTCCCTCAGCTTCCACTGCACCCCAGCAATGGCAAGATGCCTTTCCGGAGATCGAAGGCTCAGAGCTCACTGAGGCTCATCAGCTCTCCAAGGCTTTCAAAGTGCTTTGTTGCTGGACAATTTTGTTCTTTCCTTCAACTTTTAGCTGTCTGACGCTGCTACCCTCCCACCTTTCTGTAACAGGGTGGTCCCCAGGGAAAGGGGAGGTTCTAGTTCCCTGCCTCACCTAAGGGAGGTGGAGCTGAGCAGAGGGGAGGAGAAGCTGGAGAGGAGACTGGGGAAGGGTGGAAGCAGGATAGGGAGCCAGAAGGAGACCTGGAGGAGACACGTGGAACAGAGAGACATGTGAAGAAGCTGCACTTGCTCTTGGTCCTGGACTGGCTGAAACAGATGTGGGTGAGAGACCCGTGGGGAGACTGACAATGGCAGCTTTTATCTTGACTTGGGTTTTGGTCTTTTCCTTCCAGACTTGTCTGGCCCCTTCTACCCCTTTCCTATGGGTCCCCACCAGGAGGGGCCTTAGACTGTGGCAGTCTTTCAGGCTTCAGTGGTCCTGCTTTGGGCCAACACTGTTCTTCTGGGCATCTACACACAAGGGGATGGGTGACTTTGGGTGCCTGATTTGGAAACTATATTCTATATCATATAATACATAAAATGTATTCTTTCCCTTCTATATTGCACACTAATTGTGTTAAAATTCCTTTCCATTAAAGGTCTTACACACTAGAGTATGTGTTGTCTTTTTTTTTTTTAAAGATTTATTTATTTATTTATACAAGCACTGGGTACAGTCACAAGTGCGGGAGGGTGAGAGAATTCACCAGAGCCAGAGCGGGGAACAGAGCAGGCAGACTGACGAGGTACACTGCTGAGGGGAGCAGCGGGCGGCAGGAGAGGTCTGTGTACCATGTGGGACCCTCACCCGGCGGCCGGGGATGGAACTGGCATTGCAGAGGCTGCGGACAGCTTTGCAACCCAGTGCTCAATGGCTGTGCCACCGGGAAAGCCCGAGTATGTGTTGTCTTGATGCAGCAGATGGCAGAACCTATTTAGAGTGGGCAAGTTTGGAGGCTCTGGGGAGTCCCTCATCCTGCCCATTAACATTTCCATGCAATGGACTCTCCAAAGCCTCATGTGTGGCCCCCTTCAGAGTTTTGTGTGTGTTCTCACTGCCTTGGCCATGTTCCCTGCAGCAGGCATGCGTCTGTACCTGGGAACGTTGGTCTGGACTGGATACCTGTCTCCTGGCCCAGGCCCTCCCCTGCTTTGTGTTTCTTCATGCGAGTTGTCATCTGAGTGTAACTGTTGTTTGCCCTCTATTTCCTCCCATAGCATTTCCAGAGCATCTAGTCTGAAGTGCCTGTATAATCTTTTTTAAAAAGCATCTCGCAAATACACCCCATGTATAGAAGAACCTCACACGGAACACAAAGCCCCCTCCATGCAGCCTTCACCCCGACAGGGAAAGAGGCTATTTCCAGCACCCCAGGACCTCCCTTCTTTGCCTTTCCTTCATTGCAACTCCCCTCACCCTGGTAGTCTGTAATTTTCTCATAATTATTTCCTTTTTGTTTAAGTTTTTGTGGTTGGAAGACATCATAGCCTACCTAATCCATTTCAGGTGTGAATCATGAGAATCAACAGGCCTTTCGGCTACCCCGGCCCTCTGCTCACAACCCACACTTGCCCTGTTTTGAGCTTTACTTGAGTAGAAGTGTATTGGACATCTTCTGTTGTGCCTCACTTGTCTGGTTTAACATTTGTTCGTGAGATTGTCCGGGTCAGCAGGAGGACTTGGCCTCGGTCTGTTCCTCTCCCTTCGTTATGGGTTTTGGGGGCTTTTGTCCTCCAGGCTGTTGTGAGCAGTGCTGGCTGGAATGGCTTCCCAGCGCAGACTTCCTGGGTGTCTAAGAGCACGGTGTGTGGGCAGAGGATGGTCCCAATCCAGCCCCTGCTCCCCAGCCCCCCGCACTGCCTGTACACCCTTGGCAGTGCCCAGGGCGCCCTTGCTGTGGTTGGGTGCTGTCAAACGTAAATCTCGATGGTTGGTGGGTGGATCATGGCAGCCCCTGGTAGCTCTGGCTTGCATTTCCCTGGATACAGTGAGACCGAGCAGCTTTCCTGTTCATTTGGTGTAAAGGGCAGGACAGGACACAGTGCAGGTTTTCTATGATCCAGCAGACTGGGTAAAGGAGGAGTCAGAGTCCTTAGTGGCTTTTGCAGGCCTTTTATTGGGGTTCACCAGGCATATGGCAGGCAGGGGTGCTGGGGGGCCGGGAGGCTGGCAGCCTCCCAACCTCCAGCAAGTCTTCACTCTATCCGGGCTCTCTGGCATTCTCTGCTTCTCTCTTGGCTTCTGCTGCTTCTTTCTTGGTGTAAAGCAACCAACCCATTCCGAGCAGGTTTATGAACGGTTCTAGCAGCCACATCCTCTTCACCGTTGTTTGCAGTCGCTGTACTCCTCCATACACTCCATTCCTCCACCCTCAACACCGCACTACCACCACACCGCACTCTGCTGCACCACCCTTATAAACCAGTCTCTTAACCCAGGTGTACCCACCTATGCATGCCCACACCCTACTCCAGGTGCCCGCCATCAGGCATGCACTCAGGACCGCAGGGGTCCGTCATCCATCCTAATGGCGGGAGGGCAGAAAAGCCTGATACCTTTTACCTTACCCTACATTTGGGTTTTCTGTTTTATGAAATGCCCATTTCAGCCTCTAGTCATTTAAAATACCATTTTGTCTGTCTTTTAAAAGGACTTCTTTATGTATACTATTCTGGGTCCTAGTCCTTTATCATTTGCATGTGTTAGAAATGCCTTTTCCCAGTGGCTTATCTTGTAATAAAATCATCAACTTTAATATAATTAATGTAGTGGATCCATTTTTTTCCCCTTGGTTGTTCCTGAAGCTTGGTGTCTTCTTGAAGGAAATCTTCGCCACCTTGAGGTCTCATCTTTCCCAATCAGTCCTCTAATCTTGCATCATCGCAAGTCTGAATAAGCGTGACCCTCTTTGAGTCTGCGCGGCTCATTCAGGCAGCTCTTGCAAGGGGCGTGCTCTCAGAGCCCGGGTGAAATGAAAAAATAGGTAGTAGGTGCGAATTCCAAAGATGGTGGTTTAAAGCAATCAAAGACACCTTCTCAGGTGTGAGTGGCACTTTGCCCCATCGTCCCTGGCTTCCTCTGGGCCAAACAAAGAATTACCAGGAGGTTTTACCTAGTGGAAGGGTCCACT